TTTAGAAAACCAAGATGGCACTGCTAAGTCGGAACCAATGGGGTGTGGGCTTTTTCAATTGTTTCTCGCTCCCCCTTTCTTGATCTATTTGGAAAGCCGGAGTGTCACCGGTTTGGTGTAGTGGTTAAGTGCGCGGACTCTAATCTGGGAGAATTGGGTCTGATTCCACACTCCTCCACATTCAGCCAGCTGGGTGACCTTGGGTCAGGCACAAGTTCTCTCAGAGCTGTTCTCTCATGGGCAGTTCTGGAGAGAGCTCTCTCAGTCCCACCTACCTCACAGGGTATCTGTTGTGGGGAGAGGAAGGGAAAGGAGTTTGTCAGCCGCTCTGAGACTCCTTTGGGTAGTGAAGGGCAGGGTATAAATCCAATCTCCCCCTCCTCCTCCTCCTTTTCCTCTTCTTGGAACCCAAGACGAAGCCACTCCGGGTTTTCAGCCACCTCGCAAAACAGCTGCTCACTTCCTGGATAATCTGAAAGTTCCTTTTCCCATCACGTTGGGCCTCCTCAGGACTCTGTGAACTGGGGTCCCCCTTTCAGCTCAGAGGGGGAAGGAAGGTTTAACTGGGATTAAATGTGGCTTGATTTGGGTATTGAAGGGTTCCAAGCCCATCGCCTGGTTTCCAATTCGTCTGCAGCCGGTTCACATAAAAGTGCCTTATGTCGGCTTGGATCCCTGGTTGGTCTTCTGAGCCAGTTTAGTGGAGTGGTTAAGAGAGGCGGACTCTGATCTGGAGAACCAGGTTTGATTCCCCACTCCTCCACATGAAGCCAGCTGGATGACCTTGGGCCAGTCACAGTTCTCTCAGAGCTCTCTCAGCCCTGCCTGCCTCCCAGGGTGTCTGTTGTGGGGAGAGGAAGGGAAGGCGATTGTAAGCCGCAGCCGCTCTGAGACTCCGAGGGAAGGGTGGGGTGTAAATCCAACTCTTCTTCCTGTTCCTCTTCGGCTGGTGGTGTTGGCGGCAGCTCCGCAGGGACTCCAGGCAGTGGTCTTTCATGCCGCCTTCTACCTGGTCCTTTTAATACTGGCGATGCCAGGGATTGAATCTGGGTCGTCGTGTGTGCCAAGCAGAGGCCTTGCCCCTAAGGTGCTGTCTCATTCAGTTCAGACTTTACTGGGGCTGGTTTTCTGGAATGTCACACGCTCATTCCCTGCCGCCAGCAGTATGTAACGGGCATCACCGCTTGGACATCCAAGGCTACCAGCTGGCTCCGGGCTGAGGCAGGGGCATCTGAAGTGGCATAGGAGGACGTGTGTGTGCCCAGCTGGGGATGGCAGAATCCCTTGAACCGGCCCTGCAGTCTTTGCCAGCCCCCTGCTCTAACCTAAAGAGGCTTCCAGGTGGGCGGGGGGGGGGCCTGCATACAATCTAGGCATTCATGGGCTATGAGATCCCAGCCAGTGCAGTTTAGGGGACAGAGTAGGACTCTGTCTGACCCAGGTTCGAATCCCCACTTCTACCATGGAAGTGACCTTGGGCCCATCGGAAACTCCCGTCCTGGCCGACCTCACAGGGTTGTTGTTGTGAGGAAACGGAACATGAGAGAACAACATTCTGAAAGCCGCTCTGAGTCCCAACTGGGGGAAAAGAGGGATAGAAATAAACAGAAATGCAAGTCCGGCATGCCGAGAACTCCAGCTGTTGTG